AAAGCTGAAATTTTAGGGGAATGTTCCCCGTCCAAGCAGGTACTAATGAGCTCAAATCCAGCCCCCTGGTAAGCCTGGACCCGCGTACGGGCCCCCCAAAATTTCTCCCGCGTAAATTCATGACTCGGGGTTTTGAGATGCTAGAAAGCTGAAATTTTAGGGGAATGTTCCCCGTCCAAGCAGGTGCTAAGTAGCTCAAATCCAGCCCCCGGGCAAGCGTGGTACCCGCGTACGGGCCCCCCGAAATTTTTCCCGCGTAATTCATAACTCGGGGTTCTGAGATGCTAGAAAGCTGAAATTTTAGGAGAATGTTCCCCGTCCAAGCTGGTGCTAATTAGCTCAAATCCAGCCCCAGGTAAGCGTGATACCCGCGTACAGGCCCCCCAAAATTTTTCCCGCGTAAATTAACTCGGGGTTCTGAGAAGCTAGACAGCTGGAATCTTAAGGGGATGTTTCCTGTCTAAGTGGGTAATAACGAGTTCAAACCCTGCCCGCGGGTAAGCGTGGTGCCTACGTGCAGGCCCGTGAAAAGTCCCTTCCGAGTAAGTTAATTACTTGAGAACGTGAGAAGCTAGAAGATTGGAATTTTGAGGGGATGTTTCCTGACAATTCTGGCGGCCAGTCTGAAATTCTTTCAGCTAGAAGCATCTGCCGAAAACCGATGCCGGTAGCGACAAAAACCATGCGGGGAACTCTACAAAAAACGCATCTTCGCACGGTCAGCCCGTGCGTTGGCCATTTATTATTAAGGATAAACTGTGCGGATGTAGTTAAGAATGAAAGGCTGGTCTGTTAAAGTCATAGGCGAATCCAGGATGGATTCCCGGAGAGCGAGGTTGGGGAAGAGGACGAAGGGGGAGGGGAGGCGACGGAGGGCGGGGGAGACTGGGGCTCCTGGGTGGGGGAGCCCTCTCCCATCCTGGAACTATGCAAAAACTAAGAATAGAGTTGTAACACTGCTAGTTAGAGTTAGTTTAGTTTTCTTTACGAACAGACCTGGGCTTTTGCAGCACTGATGTCTGCGCTGCTGAGAGGTGAACGAAAAACCCTTCCGTGGATCTGCCTATGACTAATGTGGAAAGGTGAAGAGCAAACAGACGAACAGAGCAGTTTTCCGAGTGATACCCGAACGGTGTTAAATGATCTGTGTGATGAAAGTCCCAGAAAGATGAAAAGAAGCGGCCGAACGCCTAATTAAACTTATATGGATGAACAGAATGGAAAGGTTGCCAATAGGGAACAGAATGACCATTTAGCAATTGTTCAAAATACCGCTTTGTCATGTGCTAAAAACCCAAAAAATCATTTATACAGCTCTTTATTCAAACCCTATGCTCTGACATAGCTTGGCTACACTTTTTTTGTCCAAGAAAAAGAGACTCCATTCAAATCAGCGTTCTTCAACATAAATGTCCCTGTGTGTAATTGATGGGAAAATATCCCACAATAAGTTTGCAGCAATTTTAAAGTAACCCAAAAAATCATTCATTCAAATCTGTACTATGTTATGCAAGATTTGAATTACGCTGGTATTTTTAGCGGTTAATGATCCGTAAAACAAGAAATCTGTCCATAACTAACCGGTTTTCCCATCGTTCTTTTAGTCAGGATCACGTTACGGACACTCCAGACTGCAACACGTAGCTGGAATTTGTGCGGCCGACGTGGCGATATATTGAGAGGCGAAGGAACCGGGCCTATTGAGTGCGGAAACAGGTCGACGAACATTTCCAGTTTGCCGCACTGAATATCCGGATTAATTGCGCTATACAAGGGTCGAGTTTCCACATGTTCTGGCACTAAATTCATCTGAAAGATCACCGATTGTTTTGAATAAAAG